AGTGGTTCAAACCTGCAGACACACAGTGACTAGTGGCAACCCCAGAAGCTTCCATGGAGAGAAAAGCAGGGCAATGGAGCAGTGGATGCCATGGACTGCACTAGCTGTGAGTGGAGTGGATTCAGCCATCCTGGGGGAGAGGGTGACTGGCCACAAGCCATCTTGGAAAGGGGCCAACTGAGCAAGGAACTCAGAACTGCTGGTTCCATCTGGTTCCCAGCTAAGTTCAAGCTCACAGAAGGTGCACTGACTGCTGTAGGCTGAATGAGTCTGGTTCCAGCCTCACAGCTAGAAACCAGCCTGAACTTCAGGGGAACTGAAGGTGTGCTGACATTATCCACTACCCTGCCATACAGCTACTGCTGGCTTGCTGGGATAAATCAACACAGATCTGCACTCTGTCTCCACACACTGTCTACCAGTGACAGCAGAGGCAAACCTTGCAGTGGACTTTTGCTCTCTCTCGTGTTTTGTTTTTTGTTGTTTGGGGGCTTGTTTTTTTTTTCTCTCTCTTCTTTTTTTGATCTTGTTTTTATATGAGTTGAATGTGGTTTCTAGTTTTATTTTTTATGGGTGTTGCTCTGTTGTGTTCTTCTTTTTATTTCTTCCTTTTCTCTTTCCCTCCTGTCTTCTGCACCAGTTTCCTAAAGTTTTCATGATCCCTCTTTATCCTCCAGCCTTGCTTCTAATCTCTTCCCTTTCTTCTATTTCTCCCTTTCTCTTCTTCCATTTTTTTCCCCTAACCCCTTTCAAATTTTCTCCCCAGGAGTAAAATTAGCATATTGAGAGCTTATTTATTGCATACAATTTTCTAGTTTGTTATAGATTTTGTTACAGAACCACAAATCTAGTCCATGCAGTTAAAGGTGGCAAATTAATAGTTAACTGTTACCTGTCATTTTCTAGGCTGTGTTTGATGCTATTATTATTATTGCTGATTGTGACACTTTAGCCAAAGTGACATAATTGTTCTAATCAGCTGTTCTTCCTAGTATACCAAAACTGAGATTGCCTAAAGGTCATAGAAAATAGTGTGGGCAAGTGTCAAAGAACCAAGGGCTGGATCAAGTAGGCAGCAACTTCTCATCACCAGTAAGTTGAAGAGGTAGGATCTTGCAACAGACCCAAAACCCAAAAGCCAGCTATACCTGGAAGACACCTCTGAAAAGTAGTCATTCTCTAAGGGTTCTAAATACTAGCAATAAAACTACTCACCATAGGCAATTTACAGGCATCAACCCAGGAATTAAACTATTAAAAAAAA